ATTGTGAAATTTTATTATTTTTTTGAAGTAATGAGACAAAGATATTTTGTAAAAAAAAAAAAAAAATAAGTTTGTAGATTTACACATAATAAAAGTTACAACTTGATTTTGAAAGTGTCAATATTTTGGAAAATAAAGAATTTGAACAATATTTTTATATGGCAATAAAATAATTATTTGAATAATATATCATTATAGTTTAATATAAAATTTAATTTTTTAATTTTTACAAAATTAGTATAAAAAAAATTATAAATAAAATGAATAAAGCAGACATACATTAATTTGCTTAAGTAGAAATATTCTTCAATGTTGTTTGAGCATGATAGAAATGTGAAAAAAGTTTTTAAAATATAGATTGAAAAAACTGATAAATTGCAAGATTATAAACATGATTCATACATATGATTAAATGGCTTGGGGCTATGTTATGAATCTTAATAATTTAAGCGCACACTTTATTTTTAGATCATTAATACAAACTGTTATTTGCTTATAGCTTAAGCATTAATATAATGTTTTAAACCTTTAATATGTTATACTAAAAATTTAAATAATATCTTATAAAATAGCATATTTAAACTGTGTTGAAAAATTATGTTGTTAAAGAACTGATTAAACTTTAGAACTAATAACTTTATATTAATTTTGTATATCATTAATTATAATTTTTTTTTTAATAAATTTCACATTTATTATCAAAAGAATATTAAAAAAAATATGTTTTATTATATCATTAAATTATTCTGTTGATAATTATACTATATGTCAAAATATGAACAATTAGTAAAAGTTATTAGTTCATTTGTTTTAAAAGTTCTGATAAGAAATTACATTAGATCGTATTAAAATATCAATTCACAATTATTATATATATTCTGCAAATTAAATATTTTGAAATGTATGTATACATGGTATTCTGTTCAATCCAAATGTATTAAAACATTATCTATAATATTCAAATATATTGAAAAAAAAGTATAAATAAATATAGGAAAAAATATCTTATATGAAATACTCGTTATTTTACTGTAGAAATTTTTATAACGTCAATCTGTACTTACACTGTAGATATATGCATCTTTAAACTAACTGTAACTATACTAAAATTACTAAAAAAAACCATATTAAATTTTATTTTATTATTAAAGTAAAAGTGTCATAATCTATCTATTATATACCTGAAATTTATGGTTTATAAATTTAAAATATTTTCTAAATTTGGTACAAAAAGTTTTAATTATTTATTTATTATTGTTTCAGATAATATAAATTTAAGAAACAAAAAACTAGAATAACTAGAATAACATGATAAAAAATATAATGCATTCTATTATAATAATATTATAAATAAATTCCATTATTTATATCTATATACTATATTTCGCGTGCTATTTTTCTGTTAATTATTCATTATCGTTTGGCAGTAACAAAAGTAAATATATATGTATTAAGTTAACTTTTCCTTAAGTTAATTTATAGTTTACAGGCCAAGTGAATTAATACTATCTAAGATTTTCTGATATAAATTGTGTATTTTTATAATAAAATATCAAGTAATGATTATAATCATTCAAAAGATAAAAGAACATGATTTATATCTTAAAATTTCGGATAATATTGATTAAATGAAAAACTTAAAAGGGATCTTATAAAAAAAAAAAGATTTATAATTAAGAAAATATATAAATGCAAATAATTATAATTTTTTTTTTTCTAGCGCATGAATTATGCTCAAATTAGTCGATGGTTTCTCCGCAAATATACAATAATGAATTTGTCCTAATGTTTTATCATATAACAAAAGAAAAACAACATCAAACTATGATTCTATTATAAATCTATTCTATCTCTATGTGATTAGATTTCAAAATCTATATATGATATGATTGCAATGTGTGTAAAGATTAAGTAGCTAGAAAACGAATTGTGTTAAAGAAATTGCAAGAAACAATGCTGTGATGAAATCATCACATTTATAAAACACCTTAAATTTACGGTGAAGTCTCGCAGGAGTTTAGCGTATTTACGTTAAATAAACTAATATTGCACTGAACCTGCAATCATACTAAATAATATACATTTGTATTTTTCGATGAAATTTCGTAGTTTTATTACATACGAGACTACGAGCAATTTTAGAACTGTTTTAGAACTGTTAAAATTCATATACTTTCTGATAAGGAACCAAAATTTTATTTGGTAATCAAAAACAATGTATACGAGAAGAATAATTCTAAGATTCGCATAAACAGTTTCAATTTTAAAGACCATGTTTATTAAAATAAAAAAGAAACAATAAAGAAAGTTGAAACTTCTCTTCTTCTCGTGCATATCTTTTGAAAATTCGTCGAATTTTATAATTAATTCATTCGAACAAACATCATATATTTAAACTATATTTAAAAAATGTTAGCGTGCCTAATCGCGAAGTAAAAAAGATAAGAAGACATTGATCAACATTTACAGATTGTAATTTTATACCTCGATATAAATTTATATACGTACAATCGTAAAATGATCATCATATACAATTAAAATACATGTCACTGATAAAATACTCTACTTCTTAAAGTCGAATCGCACTTTTTTATAGGGATTATTATTTTGAAAACGAATATATATTGTATCTCATATAATCATACTAAAATCGACATAAATAATGGAATAATGTGCGATTTGATAATTAAGAAATCATTCCTTTCGTCAATGAACGTTCATATTTATGCTTGTTTATGTTTTTATGGCATCGTAAAATGAACGTTCTAACTTCCATTTAAATATAGAAGTTTAATAATTGGCAAAAAAAAAAATAAGCGGGTTCATTTTTATGATTTAGTGCATCTTTTTCTAATTATTTTCATCATCCAACATTCAACTTTTAGTATCAATTATTTTACTTAATTGTAATTAAAGTGTTAATTAAATTATATTAATTAATCGATAGTAGCAAATCTATATTAATTAATATAAATTAATTGATTGAAGAATGCAGAAAAGTTTGATTGCTTTTTTTTTTACACTTTGTAATTATGAGAATAACGGAGAGAGAACAAAAGAGGGACACGCGAGTTTTATAATAATTTTACGCTTTATGCGAACGATTGTATGTTTGATGCATATTTTTGATTAATCGTGTGCATCCATCTGTTGTAAACAGGACAAAGACAAGTAAATTTTTTAAATGATCCGAAAAAGTGATTTTGCGAAGACATTTTACATCCACTCGCCATATTGACCGATGAATTAAAAAAAAAAAAAAAAAAAAAAAAAAAAAAAAAAAAAAA